CCAACATATGGCATCCTACGATTCCAACCAGTCTCCCCACGTGGGAAGAATAGTGGATATGACAATGGGTCGTAGCACCCATAGTATGCTCTAATATATAGGGGCCGGTCTCCTTTTTTTCCATGTACGACAACACTTCTGTCAAAGCAATTCTTTGGGTCGCTCCCTTCAACCCATATCGCTGCCACCTGAGAAGTCGTTGGGGCATTGTACCTTCGTTGATCCAAGTTGATATCCGTGTTCAGTGAGATACTATACTCATCTAGATTTGGAACAGACCCAAGGCTCTTTAAAACTTGTGCATAAGGGTTACGCTCAAGTATTCGCAGAATCTTTCGTATGAGGTCTATATTAAGATCTGGAGACCTCATAGCCCTGTGAACCAAGTCTTGATCTGTATCATAAATATAAAGCTGCAAATGCCGAGGTCCATTATCAGCCGGCACCAGACCATCAAGAGCGTGGTATAAGCCACCACATGCACGAAATGTATATACTCCAGTTCCTGCCGCTGTGCTTACTCGGCGATCAAGAGTGACTCCTAGAGTTGTGAATGAGAAGTGCGAGTTGAAATACCGTATATGCTCTCTAAAATATTTAGCATCCTCATCATCTTGACTTGTAAACAACCGTTTCAGCTCTTCTGGAATGTCTGGAGTAATAATATCGACTTTTCCTTTTCTGCAACAAAATGCTGGGCCCTCAAATGGAAACCGCAATGCCCCACAGTGGCGACAGTCGGGAACCTTTCTTAGGACATGGTGCTTTGTAGGTAGGTTTCGGTAAATGAATTCATCGGTATTTGATACTGGTGCGGCTCGTGGGCGTCCAAGTTGGTACGATTCATAAGCAAGACCTAGCATTGAAGAACAATTTGTATTAAATATTGAATGAAGACCTATGAGGCTCATGGTAAATTCGGAAATAGACAATGGACATACCTTCGGCCATAAATATTCTAGCTTCCTCATCAGGCTCATGGTATATAGCTTCTCCATTTTGCAATGGCGCCAAACAGTCTAGTAGGCAATATATTGGTCAAACATAAATGCCACAAAATTGTCGACGAAGAACCTGATATGTGAACGACAAAATATATAATGTACCTTCAAAATTGGGTTGTTGAACAACGGGCTCAAATATTCCATATGGATCTTCTATATGGTCGTTGCCCACTACGGAAAACCACAAGATAAGTAGAGCATACAAAATCAGGTACTATAGTAGTCTAGGGTCATCAAACTTACTTTGTAGATCTTGAGTGCTTTGAGTATCATCCGGAGACGGTTCCGCAGGGCGTCTATTATCATTAGTTGGCGTCTTCATTGGTTGACTGGAGCCATTAAAAGGATGTATACCTGAATAAACGAAAGAGAACCAGGAATTGCGATCAAATTAACACTATGGACACACTTCCACCATAACTAAATGGACGAACTAAACCGCACCTTGAATTGAGAAATCTGGGTCACATATTCTGCTAATTTGGGGTGCCTGAACCCCTGAAAGTTGTGTGAGAGGCCCTGCATTGTGTTCAATTGACAGTAACTGTCATTCAGAAGCTGATTATAGTTTATTATTGTTTAGAAGAGTACAAACCAAAGGCATTAAAGCATACCTTGTGCAATATCTCTTACGACGGTGGAGATTGATTGCATGTTATGACCAAGAGGCATAGCAACAGCTCTAATGCGTCCACCAATTTGTTGTATCTGATATGCATCATTCCTGTGCAACCAATCGGACTCCTCATCGTATGTTAAAGTATTCTCCTTGTCGTAGGGGGCATGTTCAGGTGATAGATCTGAATTTGGTATATTTGATAATACTGCAAGAAAATTGTAGATAACATCAGTAAAACCTTTTTTTTATATTCGATAAGATAACACCATGCAATCAATATGTTATGGTAGCACAGAACCTGCAGACGATATTTGTTGTAGCTGGGTGACACCGGATTGTCCTGTAGCTGGTGTGTGTAACACGGTGCTATCGTTGGTGAGTAGGGTCGTAGTAGCCTTTCTCTGCTCACGTGATAGGCGTTGTCGTTTTAATATCTCATCCCTATTTTGTGCATACCGCTCCCTGTCCCTTTGCCTCCGTATGTCTTTAGGGTCTACATAGATGAGAAAGCTAGTTAGTATCAACAAATAGGGTTGTATGTAGTTGGTTGATCGTCATTACCAATGGGTATGGACATCGGTGTTTGTGTTTCATTTTCATGGACACTGATATCAGCGGAAGCGTCAGCCATTTTTTTGTTTCTGTAGGCCTGACGTTGTCTCTTTAATATTTCGTCTCTATTTTGTGAATACCGTTCCCTATCCAGTCGCCTCTTCAGCTCCGTAGGGTCTACATGTATGATTTAGAGTATCATAAGTTACGTGAATAATACATAAGCATGCAGTATATGGCCATACTTACCATGGGACATGGCTAGGGGTGTGTGTGGCACATTTTGCTCATCATTCGGCAGAGGTTTATCAGTCTGCTTCTTTAAACGTGCCTCACGACGTCTTTTCAAAATGTCCTCTCTGTTTCGTGCATAATATTCTCTGTCCCTCTGCCTCTTAATTTCTTTAGGGTCTGTTTAAATATACAATGGAAATTAGCACATTCGTTATAGAAGTGTTCATGAACCCAGAAAAAAAGAAGCGCTCAGTTGGCTGATAGTTACCTGAGGAATGGATGTTGCTTATATCCTGAAATGGGGTGCGTGCCCCCGAGTGATTTGGAGAAGTCATAACATCGACTTCGTAGACTGAATACTCCAGTAAAAAATCTGTCAAGAGGGTTGACTGGAAGCATATATTAGTCAGAATTAGATTCAAGTTATGTTGTCATAAATCTGTAGATTTCATTTTCTTAAAGCAAAAGGAAGTTAGAAGATAATTTGCAAGAACAAGAAGAAATGTCTAATATTAAAATCTTGCCTGATATTTTCAGAGGATGGCACAGGTGATGCAAGGAACCTACGACCTGTTTGCAGCGAAGAAGGTGAGGGGGAGCAGCCGCGCATGTAATGGCCAGTGGAGGGCGGCCAGGGAAGGCGGCGGCGGTGTTTTCGTGCGGCGAGGTCGCCGTCCAGGAAGGCAAAGGCGATGATGTTTCTGAGCGGCGAGGGGATATCCGTGGGGTGTGTTTCTTGTTTCTGGATTTGGAAGGTCTATTATTATTTGTGGTAATGGGGGATACGTGTTTGAATTTGTTTGGAAGACCTACGTGATTGTAGGGATTGTGTTTGCTTTCGCATGGAAGTTTTCCTCCGCGGTGGAGTATGGTCAGTCAACATAAATTAGTAAGTGCACACCAGAAAACATATCAGGTGAAGGCTAGCCGTTGGATTTAGATAAGTGGGGATAATCCTGTGGTAGTATTGGGTCCGTGTATGTTTTGTGGGGTGCGTTTAGCAAAGATAATGTTTGCTCTTTTATTAGTGGTGGAGATTTAAAAGAAGTTCACAAAATTCAAAATTCATATTATTTTAAAGGACTTTCATGTTTTATGTTCCAATTTTTTTAATGTTCAAAAATGTTTTAAAAATGTTCATGTTTTACAAGAAATATTATGTTTTAACATGCATAAATATTCAGATAAATTGAAAATAAATGTAAAACCTAGCTGAAAACCAATTAAACGAAAAAACTCACTCTATACCGAAAGAAATTCGCTCGCTACACTGTACCACTTGGCACTGGCACAGGCTCTGACGCACCAATCATCATTAGGCAGCGGCTCCTTGCGACTACGCATTGCACTACTGGCGGCCTGTACTTTTTTTTTTTGAGTAATCTGGCGGCCTGTACATCAGTTGTAATAAGCCGCCGCAGCCCACTAGCCACGTCAGTTGGGCCCGACCCAACTATTGTGACATGTAGTACATGTTTTTGTTCTCTGCAGGAATGTTAATGATTTAGGGTCTTTTTGATTCAAATGATTCTTAAAGAAATCTTTGAGGATTTTTTCCTACAGAGGTAGTTTGATTCGTGTGATTAATACAATCTATATGATTTTTTTTCATTAAGATTCATTTGTGCTAGTTTTCATAGGAAATTTTCCTTCGACTCCAAGGTTATGTGAAGAATTCAACGGTTTTCCTGCGCATAATCAAACATTCATACTAATCATGTAGTGTTGAAAACGAAATGCCAGCCCCTAGGTTGTGCTACGTATGGAGCTTCTGTATCTACATTAGCAGTTATATGAGCAGTTATTATGGAGTTCACTTGGCTTTGCTGAATCTACTATAGTTTCTCTTACGTGCTTCTAGCTGTCTGCATAATAAATTTATAAAAGGCAAAATTGTCTAGAAAAAAATACTACCAAAACTTATAAAAGGCAAAATTTGCATAAATTTCCACATATAAGATCTGACGGATACATCGTTGATTGAGCTACAATTGTTTCTCAGAAATACCAAACCCGATATCTATATAATCCCTGGAAAGATGCTTTGTTTTCAGGAAGTTGAAAATCTTTGAGGATATGCTAATTGAATAAAAAAGACTCTCCTCCAATCGGCATGTAATCAGCACGCGATCCCTCTGGCTGTCTGCTGCCTATAAGTACATGGCGAGAGACTCTCCTTCCTCTCACGTACCCGGAGCAATCGTATATTCTTCAGCGTGAGCATGGCTTCTTCTTCCTTCCTTGCTTTCGTGGCTCTAGCCAGCAGCTGCCTCATCCTCCTTCCATGCATTGTCTCCGGCTGGTCTGACGGCGGCGCGACGTGGTACGGTCCCCGCCACGGCGCCGGCTCTGACGGTATGTAAATTATGGAGTACATTGGTATATAAGTCATACGCCTTGCACGGACATGCAGGCCTCCGTGATGAGAGTGCATACATGCATGCATGCTAGGACACGTACGTACAATATAGTGCATAGTAGTTGTTGTTTACGTGTATTTTGTTGTGATCGAGTACTGACGCGTGCATGGGCGTGCTGCAGGTGGTGCGTGCGGCTACCATGGCGACGTGGAGCAGCCGCCGTTCTCCGCCATGATCACGGCGGGTGGCTCCTCCATCTTCAATGGCGGCAAGGGCTGTGGCGCTTGCTATCAGGTTAGATGCACCGGCAATCCCGCCTGCTCTGGGTCCCCGATGACCGTGGTCGTCACAGACCAGTGCCCCGGCGGGCCGTGCCTGTCCGAGGCTGCGCACTTTGACCTCAGCGGGAAGGCGTTCGGCGCCATGGCCAAGCGTGGCCAGGCCGACACCCTCCGCAACGCTGGCAGCATTAAAGTCCAGTACAACCGGTAAGCCCTCGCTAGACTACGCCCAGTGCTCCGCCTACGTGCACGTTCCTGTGATCCATGGATCGATTGTCATCTCCTATATTTCTTCTTCGCTCGCAGGGTTCCGTGCAACTGGCATGGGCTGGACATCGCCTTCAAGGTGGACGCCGGCTCCAACCCCAACTACCTTGCGGTGCTGATCGAGGACGAGGCCGGCGACGGTGACCTGTCCGCGGTCGAGCTTCAGCAGCGCGGCGGCAGCTGGGTGCCGATGCAGGAGTCGTGGGGCGCGGTCTGGAAGTACAACGCCGGGTCCACCCTCCAGGCACCCATATCGATCCGCATCACCTCCGGCTCCGGCAAGAAGCTCGTCGCCAGGAATGTCATCCCCTCCGGCTGGCAGGCCGGCAAGACCTACCGATCCATCGTAAACTTCCAGTGATTGATCCGTCCGTGGGATCAATGGGGAGTACGTATCTTAATTAGTTGTGCAGCACGCGTGCGCTAGCTATATGTAGTAATAGAGCCCGTGCCTGGAATAATACTCGCTTTCATGCTTTGAAAAATTGCAAACATAATGTGGAAAAAAAAATGCTTTCTTCGAATATTTTGGCAGCTGATTAAGGATACGATGGATATTGCTAAACGCTCAAGATTGATGCCAACCGATTGTTTGTCAATCTTGAGTATTAAGTTTATGTTGAAAATCATGACCCCTACAAAAAAAACTCACTCACATAATTTAGGATTTGAAGAATGGTCCAGATAATATACACTGAAAAATAAGGGACCTTCTATTTGTAAGTTGTGAATTTTTATTTAGGTGCAGTGCAACCCCACGTCTCGATGCATGCAGCTTAGGCAGCTTAGGTTATGTTACGGTTGTGTTCCAATTAAAATGGATCAATTCTATAAATTTTAGTGGTATCCATGAGTAATACAAGCTGCAAAATCTACCACTTTAACACTCTTTAAACAAAAATAAAGACAAACTGATACAAAACAAAAAAAACAAAAACATAAGTTTTCCTAAGAAAGAAATTGCGGGCATTGGATTACCCTAAAAGAAGAAAGAAACTTGAAAAACTTCAAATAATTGATGATAAAAACTGCACACAAAATTCAGAGAAATTGCACCTTTCTCAATAGCAAAAGAAGCCTATATATAATTTTCACACATGTTGCATCAAACTTGAATTTATATGTCGATGTGTTTACATTAAGATTAATAATCTCCGCAGACACGCGAAGGCACAAAAACAAGTGCATGAGCACGCGCGCACGCGCACACACACACACACACAGATGCACACACCCGCGTCCCCGTGAACATATCCACACATCGAGAGACAACATGCACACACGCACATATCCTAGCGCCACACACACACGATTACACGCGCACACACACATAATGCACAGAGACAAACACTTACGCACACAACACACAGGCTCGCCGGCATGAACGGACCAAGGGGGAAAAAAGCAGACTAAATACAAGAAGAAGAAAAGGTGACTTACACAAAATAAAAATTGATGCAACTTACAAATAGCAAAAGTGAAAAAATAATATCAAATCTGTGGAGTACTTCCTTATATTTATTCAAGGATTTTGTTTTCTATATTTTTCATATGGTCCTACATTTATGAGTTTATGATTGCCCAAAGTTACTTCACTGATGTAGTGTTTCATAGGCATGGACCGACCTAAAATTTAGTATGTCTTGTTTCATAACCATATAATGGAAACTAGACGTGCCAAAAAGAAATCAGCATTGATCTATATTGCTGACATAGCATGTCATTAAATGAGGAAATAATGATACTAAATATTATACGTATCATGATTGTGTATCATTAAAAAAAAATGATTGTGTATCATGATAATGAGGTGCTGCTATGAGACACACAAAACAATCAATGAGGTCGTCTAAAGGACAAATCTATCATAATATGCACTATAAAGGTTCTATTATACAATGGTATCATATGCATAGTACTCAATGTGAAAGGTATAATCACTATAATTTTTTGGGGGCATGCAAACACTAATTTCTAGAGATAAAGATAATACATTGTACATCATGTCTTTTGGATTCTCTAAATAATGTGGGGGGCATAAGAAAATAGCTTCTTATCAACCATTGTGCATGCCCTTACTCGTATGACTTCATCTTGAAGATATATAGCAAAAAGATACCTACATATCACTTTGTTAATATATCTTGAAGTTACGCGACTACAACCATCAGTAGGGCATATCCTACGCTGTACAACGATTTGTGATTTATCTGTATATTGTTTTGATAACTTCAGTGTCTGGTGATGAATTACTTTTCTATTTCGGGGTAAAACATGTCATACTGTGTGGGGTGGTAGTCGATTATGTGCACATGCAAGAAAAATTAACCAAAGGACAATGATAATATTTCTTTATAATTATCATAATAGAATGTCTACTCATCGAAAAGGCTACCTACTAAATCTGGAAAATGTAACCAAAATAGCAAACTTAATAAGGGGGTGTCTACCAAAATAATCATGTCTTTATTAATCAGACCACAGATACAGAATCACAATATGAAAGCAGTGGCGGGACCGGGCAGGTATAGTCGGGGCCATAGTCAGTGGGTTCCATGCGGCTCGCCGGAACTGTCCGCATGGCTAGAGATGTCACGCGCGGTGGAAATAGCGGTTAGGGAAGGAAACTTCCTCCCACTGAAGGAGGAACTAGACAGATAGCGCTTGGCAATTTTTGTTACTTCGGGTGTTATTTTACTGCCATGACAGTAAATGAATATATCGGTATTACGCATCCACTACAGATGCTCTTACCAGGTTCCCCGCTTGAAACAGGTTGGGGGTTCTGATAATTAAGGAATGTAATTCATTTGAATAAGCTTTGAAAAAAGTGGGGAAAAAAATCTTTTGCTGACACATTCATTAAATAAAAAAATATCCCCTCACCACGACATTTAATCAGTGTGTGATCTCTCTAGCTCTCTGCTGCCTATAAATACATGGCGAGAGACTATGCTTGCTATCACACACATCACTTACCTATCTCCAGTACATTCCCTTCTTCCTCTACATACGTGCAACAATTGTATATTGTTCATCGCGAGCATGGTTTCTTCCTCCAACGTGGTTTTCGTGGCTCTAGCTAGCAGCTGCCTCATCCTCCTTCATTCGAGCAGCATCTCTGGCTGGTCCGATGGGGGTGCGACGTGTGGTACGGTCCCCGCGAAGGCGCCGGCACTGACGGTAGGTATATAGCCGCATGGACGATGCATGCAGACCTTGATGATGGGAGTGCATGCATGTTAGGACACATATATTTTAATACTCCCTCCGTTTCATAATATAAAAACGTTTTTTACACTAGTATAGTATAAGACGGAGGAAGTAGTTATTTACGTGTACCGATGAGTGCATAGGCGTGTTGCAGGTGGTGCATGCGGGTACCAGGGCGACATGGAGCAGCCGCCGTTCTCCGCCATGGTCACGGCGGGCGGCCCCTCTATCTTCAAGAATGGTAGGGGTTGCGGCGCTTGCTATCAGGTTAAATGCACCAGCCATCGCGCTTGCTCCGGGGTCCCGGTGACCGTGGTCGTGACAGACCAGTGCCCCGGTGGGCCGTGCCTGTCGGAGGCTACCCACTTTGACCTCGGCGGGAAGGCATTCGGCGCCATGGCCAAGCCCGGCCAGGCCGACAATCTCCGCAGAGCCGGCAGCCTTAGAGTCCAATACAACCGGTAAGCCCAGCTTAGCGTCATGCATGTTCGTGCGATCCATCGATCGGTTGTCAACTCTTTGATTTCTTCGCTCGCAGGGTTCCGTGCAACTGGCATGGGCTGGACATCGCCTTCAGGGTGGACGGCGGCTCCAATCCCTACTACCTTGCGCTGCTCATTGAGGACGAGGCCGGCGACGGCGACCTGTCGGCGGTCGAGCTTCAGCAGCGCCGCGGCAGCTGGGCGCCAATGCAGGAGTCGTGGGGCGCGGTGTGGAAGTACAACTCCGGGTCCACTCTGCAGGCACCCATATCGATCCGTCTCACCTCCGGCTCTGGCAAGAAGCTCGTCGCCCGCAATGTCATCCCCTCCGGCTGGCAGGCCAGCAGGACCTACCGATCCATCGTAAACTTCCAGTGATCAAGTGATCGTTAGATCTGTCAGATCGAGTACCTATGTTAATTTATTAGTAGCTCCGTGCCTATGTGTGTAATCGACATTGATAATTCAATATGGCAATTGATGTGGCAAATTTCTTGTTGGAATATTTTGGCAGATCCGACCATCCCATGGATATTGCTAAACCCACAAGATTACTGCCAACTGGGTTGTTTGTCAGTCTTTCTAGGACTAATAAATTTATATTGAAAATCATGACGCCTACAAAAAAACTCACTCACTTAATTTAGGATTTCAAAGAATGGTCCAAGTTTAATTAATATACACTGAAAAATAGTGCCAAGTCTTGAAACAGAGTACACCCTTAAATTCATGCGTGGATTTTAATTTGTTTTCCATGGTACTAGCTGATTTGTTGTAGATTATGCCTAAAGTTACTTGATTTCCCATGATTTTCATGAGTTTACGATTGCTCAAAGTTCCTTCATTGTCTTAGTGTTTCCTACCCATGGGTCAACCCTAGAATTTGGTAATTGATTATTCTCTGTTTCATAACAGGACAGTGGGAATTAGACGTGCCGAAAACAAACCATTGTTGTTCTATATAGCCAAAAGAAAGATACGCATGCTTATGTAGGAAGAGAGATAAATGAAAAAGGAGGTTTAATTCTCTTATTTAAGAGAGATGATATCAAGATGTCATCTCTCTGTCCTACGATTTCAGGAGTGTGCAAATAATGGCTAGAGATAAAGATAATCCCTTGTATACCATGACTTGTGACTTATCTAGATGATGTGGAATACATAAGTAAATACAAGAGTATTCTTAGTGAAATCTATGTATACAGATTTGATAAACACTGGTCCAATCTCAAAGTCGCTTCACATTTGGAAATTTAAGGTGCCCTCGAAATGTAAAGGTCTTTATATGATTTTTCACAAGGAAGTGATCTTGACTAAGGACAACTTGGCAAAGCATAGTTGGGAGGATTGTAAACAGTGTTCTTTCTGTGACCAAGATGAATCCATCCAATTTTTTTTCTCAAATGCCCACTAACCAAGTTACTGTGGAGTATAGTACAAGTGGCTTTTATTGTCAGTCCTTCCACTACCATTGCCACTTTATTTGGGACATGGCTAGATGGGGTAGAGCCTAAAACAATGGCGCATATTCGAGTCAGAGTGTGTGCATTACTTTGGGCTATACGAAGTTGTTGGAATGACGTGATTTTTAACAGACAAAACATCATAAATTTTTGTAGGCCATCTACCATATGTGGTCGTTCCTCGGCCGTGCGGAAGTCAAAGAGCATATGGCTTATAGGTGCAACCCTTGGGAGACGGTAGCACGGGATACTTACAACCGATTTGGATGGTGATCCAACAATAGGATAGGTGTATAGTCATCTATTCTTCTTGTTGCCGGTTGTGGCAATTTTATTTTATCTCGGCACCATTTGTGAATTTGTATCGAACTATGTACTTGATGGCTATTTTGATTAATAGTATGGCCTATGCATCATTTTGATGCAGAGGCCAGAGTACTCATCCTTTGAAAAGAAAAACACCAATGTGTTGCTTACAAACTTTTTACGTAATCTTTCAACTAATTCTCCTCCCCTGTATTTCACCGGATGGGCTCCGCTGAATCCAATCATGAGCTCACGCTTCACCTCTCGCTCTTATGTCTAGTCTATACAGTAGGTGGAGGTACGCTCAGAAAAATACAGTAGGTAGTACCCCTCGAAAAAA